CTGGAAACATTAGTGACCGAGACCGAGTCACCAAAAGGACGTCGACCCGGAAACGAGGAGGGTACTGGGACTAATCGTGACGACGAGCTGAATTGTCCAACGACCTATTATATTCTACGAGCGCTCGCCGATAACTGGTCAAGTATTCCTGACTACGTGAGCCAGTTTTAGCGATCCTCAAAACGCCGACGGTCGATGGTATCAGTAACAGCCAACTCCCACGCCTGCTGTCGATGTTGAGGCGCAGGCTCCTAGACACCAACCATCGCTAGACGAGTACACCCGCCTTGTTCAACTTTCGGCCGTCATGGACCAAGTCACTTTCAACGCCAGCTCCAATTTCCGCGCTCGATTCCGACCAACGGCGAATCAGCAGACAATTTACCAAGCCATCACGTCAGTGGGACACAAAGGTAAGGATGCGATGATATTTGTATCCATGCGCGGACGGCCGAGTCGACAAGGTTCCTACCCCATCTAGCAACTCTCTGCCGTTTGTACTCATTCGAGTTCGGGCCAGGTGAATTGCCAGTACCATTTTGTACGCTTTGACCTTGACGCTCAGTTCAACCTGTCAAATACGCAAGGTGTTAACCTCGGTTATTTCTCCGCCAAGATCAGCCTGCCTTTCACACCTAAGACCCGGACACACATGCAGTTTGCCTCCGCCATCGCAACTCTTAACGAATGTGCTGGAGAGCTCTGTGACGACACTACCCGTTCCTTAGTGAAAGCCGTTTACCGATTTTCCGGATCACTAGTAAATTACGACCCGTAGACACCAATGGCGATAAACGCATTAGCGCTCTGGCGCAGCAAAATATTGGGCTTGTAGCCCAGAGCCGTGCAAAGCGACCTCACCTCGGGCCTAAATAAGCGCGCTCAGATTGCTCGGATCAACTTTCAAGACGCGGAGCTCAGCAGCATCATGTTTAAGTTGTCACGAGGAAGCTCAATGCCCTACTGGCAAGCGTCCGAAGGGTCTGCACAAGCGCGGGAGTCGCCACCAGCAAAACTGGATTGCCAAAATAAGGATGTGCAACGCAAAAAGGGGCGGCTGGCCCCGGCGGAAGTCCTCAGTGCGACACCTCGACAGCATGGACGTCACCGGTGCCTACGGTTTATTTCAACACAGCGCTGCTCTTCGTCGACACCTGCCGATCGCTGCCTGAGATCATATCTAGCTCACTTTGAAGTAGGGATTCTTCCACCTTCCGCTCATGCCTTTCTCTGCGAGCGGTATGAGGAGATCGCGTGCTCCACCTGAGACCAAATAACCCCTTCGAGCCTCACGTGATCCGTCTGAGTGCAAGCTTCCCCGTACCAGCAAACGCTGTCCAATCAGTAGCATCACTAGCGAAATTGTAAAAGAAGTCTAAGATACACTAGTGCAACGTCTCCAGCTGGAAAAATCACGGCTGGCAAAGCCCAGACAGAAATTAATGGGTTGCACCTGTAGTTAATTATCTCACGGTCACGCTGCCGCCGATATTAATTATGCTAGCGTCCGCGTTTATACCGATATATCGAATGTAGTGATACCACTCTAGAGGCCATGATCGGCCGTGGAAAGCGCAAAGCACGGATGACCACAGACCAAATAAAGTGCCAGACAAAACCCATCTAGAGTGGAAATTGTGAGGCTATAAGGAAGCGGATCTACTACTGGAAATCGTAGATCATGGGGTGTATCACCGCTTTGCTGAGCGGCAAACCAAACGGACAGCGTCGAGGCCCACCAGAGCCATAAATCAGCGAGGACGTTGAAAATGGCTTAAACGCGTAGCGTGCGGGAGGTCCAAGACACCGGAAAGTACCTGATGGTAAGCGCAGAAACAATTAAGATGGACGGACTTACACCTCAGTCCGTTAGGTTGCGTGACTAAAACTAGCATTGACCCATGTATTTATCCACGATCTGTCATACCCGCCAGGTGGCCCCATCAACGATCAGTCAACACTCGAGGGTATTTCTAAGCTGTCGTATGAGTCCGTTGACGCTATCGCTCGTCGAAGATTGGAGCTTCGTCAGGAATATCCTAGCGTCGTGATTTGACTAATGAAGGGAGATGTCAAGTCCGCGTTTCGAAATGCTCCAGCTCATGATCAAACTAGCCAGCTGTTTGCAGGAAGCATCCCAAAGCATGGCGTGGTGGCTGTCGATTTAGCGCTGCCATTCGGCTGGACTGGATCACCAGCTTATTATGGTGTATTTGGTAGCGCAATTTCTTTCTTGGTTCGTCGTGAAAGCCCAGCAAGTCTCATCCCGACAAGCCCAGACCACCAACCGTTCTTCAGCTACGTTTGAGTTGATAAGCATGTGCCCATCGAGCCGGACACACCCAGGCGCCTTGACGCGTGGGCATGGGCTCTACGACTAGCTATGATGGCTGTGCTAGAACCACGGTCGATCAACAAAAAGAAATTTACATCTTGGGAGACACACCTGACAGCGTTAGGACTGGCGTGGGACACTGTCGCAATGATGGTCTCGATGTCACAAGAGAAAATTGACAGGACCATCGATCGACTTCGCGCGATGCGTAAGCATAATTCAGCGGCACGAAATACATGGGAAAAACTACTCGGCGGTCTCCAGCTCGTCTCTATGTGCGTACGCGCAGCAAAACCGTTCTTCCAGAGGCTGTATGCAATGTACAGACAAGCACCACTCCTCGTTTTCATCAAGCTAACAAAGGGAGCTCGGCTGAATCTCGCATGGTTTGAAGTCATTAAACAGTTTGTTGTAGCTTGAAAGTGTTCCCCTGATCCTCTTCTCAGCGCTGCCTGAACCTACCGTTCATATTTATATGGATGCAAGCGATGATGGTATGAGCATTCTCTTTGAAGATTGTCGAGAGCTCATTCGACTTCAGTTTGATGCAAAAGAAAAAGACATGATTAAGCAAGAAAAATTCAGCATCAATGTCAGAGAACTGCTGAGTGTGGCATTAGCAGTGCTTATGTGGGGTGCAGGATGGTCTAATGATAAAAATACAGACTACACACATGTTCGTGTATGGATCGACAACAAGTCTGCAGTGGAATGGTTTAATCGGTTACAGATCACAAACGAATTTTTGTCAAGAGCTCAGCCGAAAATCGGTGTCGTGAAAGCAATCCACAGTTTTCGGTTATCAGCGGAGCATATGTCGGGGTCGCAATGTCATTGCCTATTTGGATCCTGGGCATGGTCTAAGCTATCCATACTAACAAAATGACGCTCTCTAACATCTACATGAAAACGAGTTTGTATTCCAGTGCGCTATCGGAAAATTCACACAAGCGACTCTTCCCCTCAAGCTCGAGCACTTGCCGAATCATCCAGACGCATGTGTATGGGCACGTGGAAGGAGTGGTGCCAATTCTGTACTCAAATTTACCGATCCTGCTGGTAACCAGCAAAATCCATACATGGCCAGTATATACAGCTGGTTCTCTTTACAATCGCCGCATGGGGCCCGATGGCAATGAAAACGTCAGTCCATCCGATCCATTCAAGCAAATATCAGTCACGTACGATAGCTCCACACAGTCTTCGCAGGATTTACTCTACAGCTAACAACTGACGATGCGACTGCCATCTCAAAACTGCGACGACTCAGTTCCGTATCTCGACCAAAATCACCAGTTACGCCAGCCATGCTCTCGTGGATCGCTAAGCAACTCAGCCTCAACAGATCCCAACACCGCCTCGTATTCGGGCTGCGGTGCTGTGCTTCTTTTTTCTGCTGAGGAGTGCAGACTTTGTAGCTGTGAAGGAAGGCTCTCATCAATACGCACTACGGGTTGATGACGTCCACGTTTTTGACCAGTACGATACAAGAACCAAACGAGTTGCGGGCGCTGTTAGAGTACGAGTCTACCTTCGAGGAAGCAAGATGGATCAGCAAGGCCAAGGTGTAATCAGGACGTGGCGATAGTCAAGACATCCCACGATTTGACCGTATGTGGCATCAAGTTTTATTGTCATTGTCTGTAGTCCTGCGACTCGCAAGAAGACGAAGAGAGCCCCCCCCTTCCCTCCCCTGCGGCAGCTAATATCATGGGCGGGAATCAATTAATCACCACCGACGCATCCCCTCCACCTGCTTCGCAGACTGTACATAGGCTGCGCTTCAAAACCCACGCCTGCGCTTTAGAACAATTAAACTTACATAAACAAACAGCCTTTACACAAGAGATAGAAGGAGGTGAATAAACCTATCACTAGAATTCAGTGCCCTTACCTAAATACTTTATCAGGTGCCCAAGTTCCCACAGTAAGTAAGTCAGCTTACTACCTGATATTTGATCCTTCGAGCTCATATTCCAGCAATAGCTGTGCATTTAAGCCAATGAAGGGCTGATCGTCACGCACGCACTTGCTGGCACCAGGACTTGTCTTGGCCTATTGTATGTATACCTCCTGCCGCGTTGTTCTAAGTCTCCGTAGGTTCAACATTCAGTTAGTTTATCGCTTTCACTCAGATATTAAGATTCATGGACTCTCAATATTTTGAAGTTTATAAGAAAATCTTTCTTTTCTGCTGGCACATCAGCATCACTATTGACAGGGATTTAAGAATAAAAAAAAAACACCTTGAGTCTGCAATAAATTCTCTGAGAGAATAGATTTGGTAGCTCATTTAATACTTTTTTTTGCGAGCTCATGCGTACAGTATAAACAGTGTAAGTTTGGAGTTATTATTTCTGTTGGACCGTGAATTTCTCTTTCACTCGATGACAAAGCAGCAACTACAGTGCTAGAACTGTGCTGGCTCAGGGCTGCATTTTTCTCCTTTCAACGTCGACTGTATTGTGTATTATTAATATACTTTATTAAACCCGGGGAAAACGGGTGCGTAGGCAAGGTAGTACGTAATCCATAATCTCGACTAACAACGCCAAACACGTACGCAATCCAATAAACTCCCCCGTGGAAAAGAGTGACGAATTGTCACTATTTGACAACAGGTACACAGATCACTTTCAAATATTCGCCTGGTCTTCTGTATCGCATGAAGCTCCCTCTTGTCATTGCTGCTACGGCTGCCACTGTCGCGGCGTTTCCAGCTTTTGCTAAGGACGAGTTCTGCGGCCAGTATGACTCCATCCAGGCGGGCGACTACATCGTCCACAACAACCTGTGGGGACAAGATAACGACAAGGCGGGTGGTCAATGCACGGGGCTCGACAGCATTGACGGCTCTACTATCGCTTGGCACATGAGCTTTCCAAGCTGGGTCGGCGACAACTGGCAGGTCAAGTCGTACGCCAACGCTGCTCTCAAATTTAACCTTGTGCAACTCTCCAGCGTGAAGTCGATCCCCACGACGATGGAGTACACGTACAAGTATGATGGCAACATCATCACAAATGTGGCGTACGACCTCTTCACTAGCCCCTCGATTGGCGGAGAGACCGCGTACGAGCTGATGGTCTGGCTAGCCGCGCTGGGCGGTGCCTGGCCTCTGACCACTACGGGGCAACCTATTAAATCCGTGAAGCTCGGCGGTGTGGACTTTAATCTGTACCAGGGCTGGAACAACAAGACTAAGGTCTTTACGTATGTCGCCAAGAAAATGACCACGAAATTCTCGGCTGACCTGAAGCAGTTCTTCGACGAGCTCCCAGCCGACAATACGATCGAGACGACCCAGTATCTGACCCAGGTGCAGGCTGGAACGGAGCCGTTTCAGGGCAAGAACGCCATTATGACGGTGTCCAAGTACTCAGCGGCACTCAAATTGGCTTTAGTGATTGATTACGATGCAAAGCGTAGCTCTTTGTGGAACTGAGTGCGACAAGGCAAACACTCTATGGGTTTCGCAATTTGTACGGCAACTAACTGTCTACAACTTTGTATTTCCTAAAATGAAAGCATTCTTAGCCCCATCAGAATGCTACTACCACTTTCGCTCGAAACGCTGTAACAAACTCTCAAACAAGGATTTTGCAAGCAGCGTTACCGTCTGTAATTTACGCTAATACAGGTCTACATGTACACTCTTTTCGGTTCGGAGGATGATGTTCAATAGTACGTATCCAGCAGAATGATCATCATGAAAACCACTCTTTTTGAGCAAAAGGTCTGTTCAACAAGCAAGTGCTGGTGGTCTATGGATATTTCATTTTATACGCCGTACTATATTAGTTCCTGAACCCCGAGGTGACAAAAATTGAGACTAGGTGAGCCAGAACTCTTGAATAGTCGACGTCAAAGGTTACAAGTAGATGTCTAGATATCCACTTGTTCTCCTAAAGGATACCGGGTACTGCTAGCACCAGCTATTTAGCCAACGCGTGTCTGTGTACTAGGAGAGTACTCAGTGGTCGATGTGGGGGTTGTCTTTAATTTCAAGTAAAGTTTAATGACTTCCGAGTAACTTGGAATTCCGAGTATACTGTATTGGCCAGATTTGAGTCGCAAATCGTAAATCTAGAGCAAGTTTGTACAGCCTATCCGTGATCTACTAAACCCAACTTAAAATATATAGTCTTAGCTTCAAGGCTTTGATTTAAGTCAAAGCACACGCAAACTCCCTATGCAAATTATACACTAACGCATGATACATCCTTATTGGTATGCATGCTGTCGAGTCTCATCGCGTACGCCAGATTTATATTAAAAACGCTTCACGGTTTCTCCGCTACAGACCACATGAATACCCCTTATCTCTCAGCCCAAGTAGTGATTTCACCTTCGCCATCGTCTCTTGCAGCAAACTCCCAGTGTAGTGGTCTCGCCGGAAACTGTAGAAACAACTTCACTAAGTAATCAGTAAACAAAGTCGCTTGGGTGACTATCCACACTATGCGAATTATTCTGCTTGAGGTGTCCACCCGACACTCTTCTAATACGTGTAGCTCTGTATACAAATGTGGCCCGGCGTAACCTCGTTACTCGAAAGTTACAAATACGCCTAAACAATTTCAATAGGCAACAATTTACTCGGGAATGATGAATTTACGCGGGAGTCATGGACAAAACACAGATTACTCGTCTACAGTACTCGGAATTTACATGTAGTATCACTTTCAATGTGGAGACCAGGATGAGTGAGGCTCGATGAGTGCAAAGAGTCTTCTCCAAATATCGTTAAACGGTTCAACGGGGCTATTCCGGAACACGCTGTTGTCAAATGGTCGACTTCTCGTTCAAGATATTTTTCTTTAAAAGGGCATCCTCTCGACGTCGGCTCGCTTAAGCAATTCGATTTGAGCACCTTTAAGCAGCTTCGACAAGTTTGGTTCGTTGCAGATAAAGCGGGGCAACTTCCTTTGGGATGGCCTGGCTTCAAAAGAAACTCCCCTGTTTGGATTTTCAAGCCACTCTGCCTGAAATCCAAAAGTAGCAAGAAGGTAGAATAGGCTTCTGTTGAGCGTAAAATAACAGTACTTGGTATGCCTGCTTGCGGAGAACAGTGATTTAATCTTCCAGACGCTGTTTTTGGTCAGTCAAGCTGGCAGAGTAAGGTAGAAGCTGCTTTTTTATTAATTAAGTAGCAAAAGCGGGTGTCCTCGACAATATCAATCTCATTCAGGACCAGGATCCGTCTGGTCCTGCTTGCTGAAAGTATTCTGGTGCCTTCGGTCAGTATGGACGACGCCGGGTGCCATCGAGAACATGCCTTAAAGAAACTCTAACTCTCGGGCACGGCTGATAGATTTAACTTATGGAGTTTCACTACGACCAGCACTGACTATGTCGACTGCTCCAAGATCCACACCGAGTTCCTAATGCTGGAACATTGCACTTTTGACGAGTCCCGACACGCGCACTGGCATTTGGCTGCCTGTGGCAGTGCAGTTCACCCGTAGATCAATTTTCCCAAGGTTTCATCAGCCCCCCCCCACTCTGTCACAGACCATCACAGAGTCTGTGATGGTCGAAATGTGGCCTATACTACCCTCCTCTTGAGTGCGCTGTGGTCATCCCGCTATTCGCGGTGAGCGTGAAGTCAAAGGTAGGGAGGGATATGTAACCAAACGCACCTCTGTTCCGGGCATGTGCTTCGTGCGCCCTATGGTCAGTGGGAGGAGCCCAAAATTCCCCAATACTGACCCCTTTAGTGAAACCAAGTGTAATTGGAGGGACTCGGCGTTCTTTCTGCGTATTCGGACCCCTTTCTCTTGCAAGTGGACCCCTGGCTCTTGTGAGCACCCAAAACAGCGATCGAAGATATCGTTTTGGGCTGTGTGTCTCTTCAGTCGACACACACACAACCGGTAGTGCTGCAACATCAAAGAGGATCACATTGCAGTATCCAAGTCGTACGAGACTGGCTCAGCTCTGACTGACCTTTGCAACGAGTGGCAGCACGGCTATGAGAGACTCTGCTCTTTCGGAAAGGCAGGAGGCTTTCACTCGATAATTCTTAGCCAGATGTCGTTCGCGGCCTTCTCGCGAGCAAACGTCGCGTCCAGCCACTCTCTTCGCCCTCTTTTTCTTCTGCAACAGATTCAGGCCAGCGTGAGGGGCGATCGCACAATGCCCGGACTGGTAGCTCCCTTCGCAGCCGCGTCGCTCGAGCACTTTTACGTTGATATCTTCGATTTTACCGGTATCGCCATGTGGTGATGGGTAAGGCCGGAACATGATTAAATGGTGGAGCCAGCCAATCAGGGACTATGTTTCTTATAGTTTATATTGAATGAAGGCGATTTGAATGAAATGAGGGCTAATGTCTTTTCAACGAGCATGCACTCCGGTCAGCAGTCAGGTTCAAACTATCGTTATAGCCAGCTACCGGATCACGGATAGGTACTATCTAAGGCATAGCGTCTGTAGGCACACGTACTGATGAACAGAACTCTCGCGCACAGCATTCAAACTAAACTTCAGCAGGTGTCGTACATGTACCGTACCAGCAGGTGTTGTGGTCTCGAGACTCTCGACACGAGCTGATACTGTACTGATACCCCCGTAGTGCAACCGTAACTTATGTCTCTTTCCCATCCAAACGACATGAATCCCGCCCGCACTTTGGAGGAGGTCTCGAATCAAGGTTTCATCGCGCAAGCCTCAGCACTGCCGAGTCAGCAGCACGGCACTGCTGTGTCCACGAGCATAGCCCGTGGTTCCTAATGACGTGAGAAAGCCTAAAATTCCTTGTGGAAACCCAACGCTGGCCTTTAGTGAAATCAAGTGTAATAGTTTTCCCTCCACATGCTTTTTTCTGCAATCGGACCCCTTTCTCTGCCAAACGGACCCCTGTCGCTTGTGCTGTTTCCTCTTCTGCCCAAAACAACAGCCAAGTTGGGCGAGCTAGACGTATTTGGCGTGGTAAGCAAAGTTCCGGACGGTGCAAACACCCTCCACTCGAACAGAACATCTCTACCTTCATCAGCTTTCTCGATTCAGACGCGAGCCAATAATGGCAATCAGGCCATTAGCACACACGACTCGTGTCCCACGCACGTTGAACTTCGGCTTACCACGCACCAGCCCGGTTGAGAATGGACCCAGCCCGGTTGAGAATGGACATATGCTGCGTGCTCTTCACTCTTGGAAAACACGCTTATTGATTGGCTACATTTTTAATGAGAGAGAGCACTTCCAGTCAACATACGTTCGCTTCTCATACTTAATAATGAAATGCTCGTACTTCCTGGGGCAATACTTCACGCAAACAGCGTTCGAGTTGGGCGACATGGCCTCCGCGGCGGAAATGACGCCTTCTTTTCGATGGCGACGATTTCGACTGGCCGGCCCTCCGCCGGTCGAGTACAGGCCACCAGGTCCACGTTGATGCGAGACTGCGGTCCTCGCAGCCCTGGATACTTCAGTGTCCCGCTTAACCTTTTGGGAGGCAGCTCTCCGCCTCGAGCTCGATGCTGCACCTCGTTTAGAGGAAGCACGCCACTGTAGAACCGGAACTCGTCCAGTAGTCCGTGGAAGCCATACCAGCCTACAAAGTCTCCGTGAGGGTAGTCTCCCCCACCTGATGTGATGTATCCCGTCCCGACCTGTTCGTGAAGTAGGTGCTGCCACTCCCGATGTAGAGTTCCCGTCGTGGACCACACGTTCTCCCCGTTCAGATACACGTCCTGCTTTTGACGTTCGAGATTATAGGTCAGAACTAGATGATACCAGTGGCCACACTTGAGATCTTTGGCCACGGGTGTCTTGACATCCAACACCGAGCAGTAGAGTTTCCTCTTCGAGTCCACCATGACGAATTGCTGATGATACTGCGGCCAGTTCCTGCTGTCTCGCTCTTCGGATTGCAGTCCGAAGATCACCCCACCTGTGTACCTATTTGTGTCAAGCTCTTTCTGTGTTGACGGTTGTAGCGAGAACCACAAGTCGAAGCTGAAGTTTTCCTCGTGCATCGTCCGCAATGCAAAATACATTCGACGGAACTGTCCCCAATCTGTCGGCGGTGGGTATTCAACGCAGGCGTAGGAGGCCCGCAGTAGCTCGTCATTGTCGTCTGTACCGAGACCGTGAAACAGCATGGACCTCGCCTGCATGTAGCGCCGCTTCCACGTGTGCAGCTGATGCTGTTGGCTCTCAGGGACGGGGCCGTGCACCATGAGCTCGTGCCAGAGCAACCCATCCGAAAGCCGAGCGAACCACCACGAGTTCGTGTGCGAGAGTTGAAAGGCATCAAAGCCCGCCAGGAAGCTGCAAACCGCCTCCACCAAGTCCGTCGGCATCTCTTCCAGCCACATGGAATGTCGATATCTGCTTGTCGCTCAGAAATTTCAAGAATGGCGCGGCCCAACATTGCCGTTCCAAAACCTCATCTGGGATGGGTGACACGTTAGCCGTTGCTGCTTGGTACGCCAAATGAGTGGGGCGACTCACCACGTCGGCCATCCCGATGCATCATTTTTGCGTCCGACACGTTGAAGTTGCTTGGATCTTTAAATTTATGCGCTCGGTGCATTAATGTATTTCATGTAGAAAGGCAAATTTAAGAGGCCGAGGCGTGCATCATGATGCCCCAGTGTCAGAAGGAGCATGCTTGCTCATGACATAGGAAGTGTAAGCGAATCAACCAGTTATTGTTTTCGATTTGCAGTTACATCGTGCTCCTGGGCGCTTGAAAGAAAAGTTGAATGCAACGAGGTGCATGGAGCGTTTTCACGCCTGCCACAACTGTGTGGTGGCTTTAGAAAATACGGACCGGTATATAGAAAGGAGTCTACCTCACTAGTTTGGCGTTGAAGCGTCAAAACTTGGTTATAATTTCTGAGAATCCATGAAAATTTCGATATCTCATATTTGGTGTGCTTTGGCGGTTAACCCCTTTAGGAGTATTTTTGCACCCGAGTTTACATGTACCTGGTTGTGTTTTCCTCGCCCTTTCTCTTGTCCCACTTCAACGTTGCCTCCCCCTCAACGTTTTAACCAACGAGAAAGACATGGTCAAGCCAACTCAACCCTCACTTCCCAATCTACCGCCTGCCACACAAGAAGCCACGACCATCACTCTGTTGACACAACATGTCCAAGGAGGAAGACAAGCTCAAGTTGCTGCAGCCCGAGGCCGACAAGAACGGCGACGGCGTGCCCGAAGTCTACCGCTCGCTCAACTTCCGCAGCCTGCAAGACCCGTACTCGCACAACAACGACACCATGGCGAGTCGCTACAGCACTCTGCGAGCCGATAACCTCGAGACCATGCTCAACGGCGGCCTCGAGCGGTTCTACAAGAAGTACGACCACCTTTCTCGCAAGGTCAACCTGCAGCTGCCCACGCCCGAGGTGCGCTTCGAGAACTTGTCCTTCACTGTGCAAGTGCCTGCGTCTGCAGAGGACCACGGCACGGTGGGGTCTCATTTGCGGGGCATCTTCACGCCCTGGAAGAGACCGGCCATGGCCCCCAAGCACGCGCTGCGCCCCATGAGCGGCAGCATCAAGCCGGGCACGTTGACGTTGATCCTGGCCAACCCTGGCGCCGGCAAGTCGACGTTCCTCAAGGCGATGGCCGGGAAGCTCCAGAGCTCGTCCAAGACCCAACTAGGAGGCGAGATTCTGTACTCGGGACTACGGGGCGACGAGATCGACCTCATCAAACTGGCCGGACTGGTGGACCAGACAGACAACCACATCCCCACGTTGACTGTGCGCGAGACGTTCAAGTTCGCCGACATGTGCGTCAATGGGCGTCCAGAGGACCAACCGGAGGAGATGCGCGACATCGCGGCCTTGCGAACCGAGCTGTTCCTCCAGATCTTGGGCATGGAAGAGTGCGCCGACACGGTGGTGGGTGACGCCCTGCTACGTGGCGTCAGTGGCGGCGAGCGCAAGCGCGTCACCATTGGCGAAGTGCTGGTCGGTGGCCAGAGCTTGTTCTTGTGTGACGAGATCTCGACGGGTCTGGACAGTGCGGCCACCTTCGACATCATCAAGTCGCTGCGGACCTGGTGCAAGACGCTGGGCGGGTCGGCCGTGATTGCGCTACTGCAACCGACTCCCGAGGTGGTGGAGATGTTCGACGACATCTTGATGATCAACGAAGGCCACATGGTGTACCACGGCCCCAGGACGGAGATCCTCGACTACTTTGAAGGCCACGGCTTCACGTGTCCGCCCCGAGTGGACCCGGCCGACTTCCTGATCGAAGTGACGTCCGGCCGCGGCCATCGCTATGCGAACGGGAGCATCCCCGTCAAGGATCTGGCCGTCGCGTCCGAGGACTTTAACAACCTGTTTTGCCAGTCGAACATCTACCGCAAGACCCACGAGGCCATCAGCAAAGGCTTCAACGAGCACCAGTTCGAGAACGCAGAGGACTTCAAGAAGGCCAAGAGCGTGGCCAACTTGGCCCGCTCCAAGGAAAAGTCCGAGTTCGGGTTGGCCTTCGTGCCCAGCACCATGTTGCTGCTGAACCGCCAGAAGCTCGTGTGGATCCGGGACCCTCCTTTGCTATGGGGGAAACTCATCGAGGCGCTGATCATCGGTCTCGTCATGGGCATGATCTACTTCGACGTGAGCTCGACCTACTACCTGCGCATGATCTTCTTCAGCATCGCGTTGTTCCAGCGTCAGGCATGGCAGCAGATCACCATCTGCTTCCAGCTGCGCAAGGTCTTCTACAAGCAGCGGCCGCGCAACTTCTTCCGCACGTCCTCGTATGCTATTGCCGAGAGTGTGGTGCAGATCCCAGTCAACATGGCCGGGTCGTTCGTGCTGGGCACGTTCTTCTACTTCATGAGCGGCCTGACGCGGACGTTCGAGAAGTACATCGTGTTCTACCTGGTGCTGCTGGCCTTTCAGCACGCCATCAGCGCCTACATGACGCTGCTGAGCTCTCTGTCGCCCAGTATCACGATCGGCCAGGCGCTGGCCGCCATCTCCGTGAGCTTCTTCCTCTTGTTCTCGGGCAACATCATCCTGGCCGACCTCATCCCGGACTACTGGATCTGGATGTACTGGTTCTCTCCCATCTCCTGGGCGCTGCGCTCCAACATGCTGTCCGAGTTCTCGAGCGACCGCTACACTGACGCGCAGAGCAAAGCGCAGCTCGAGAGCTTCTCCATCACGCAGGGAACGGGCTACATCTGGTTCGGCGTCGCTGTGCTGGTCGTGTACTACTTCGCCTTCACGAGCTTCAACGCGTTGGCGCTGCACTACATCCGCTACGAGAAGTTCAAGGGGGTGAGCGCCAAGGCCATGCAGGAGGAGGAAACGCACAACGTGTACGTGGAGGTGGCCACCCCGACGGCTGGCCATGACGCCAAGGTGAAAGGAGGCGGCCTGCCGTTCACGCCCACGAACTTGTGCATCAAGGACCTGGACTATTACGTGACGCTGCCGTCCAGCGAGGAGAGGCAGCTCCTGCGGAAGATCACGGCGCACTTTGAACCTGGCCGGATGGTGGCGCTCATGGGCGCGACGGGCGCTGGCAAGACGACGCTGATGGACGTGATCGCTGGACGGAAGACTGGCGGCCGCATCGTGGGCGACATTTACGTCAACGGAGAGCTCAAGGACCCGGCCATCTTCAGTCGCATCACGGCGTACTGCGAGCAGATGGACATCCACTCGGAGGCCGCGTCCATCTACGAGGCGCTCGTGTTCTCGGCCAAGCTGCGACTGCCGCCGACGTTCACCGAGGAGGAGCGGATGAACCTGGTGCACGAGACGTTGGAGCTGTTGGAACTGACGACGATCGCCTCGGAGATGGTCGGCAGTCTGTCGGTCGAGCAGAAGAAACGCGTGACGATCGGCGTCGAAGTGGTGGCCAACCCCAGCGTTTTGTTCCTGGACGAGCCCACGAGTGGGCTGGACGCGCGTTCGGCTCTGATTGTGATGCGTGGCGTGCAGTCTATTGCTCGTACGGGGCGCACCGTGTTGTGTACGATCCACCAGCCCAGTATCTCGATCTTCGAGCTGTTCGACGGGCTGTTGTTGCTCCAGAAAGGTGGCTACACGGCCTACTTCGGCGAGCTTGGTGTCGACTCGGTCAAGATGCTTGAGTACTTTGCGTCTATCCCCGGAACGGAGGAGATCCGACCGCAGTACAATCCGGCGACGTACATGCTGGAGGTGATTGGCGCGGGTATCGGCCGCGACGTCAAGGACTACTCGCTGGAGTACAAGAACAGCGAGCTGTGCGTTAAGAACCGCGAGCGGACACTGGAATTGTGCCAGGCGTCGGACGACTTCGTACGTCACTCGACACTCAACTACCGACCGATCGCCACGGGCTTCTGGAACCAGTTGACGGAGCTGACGAAGAAGCAGCGACTGACGTACTGGCGCAACCCGCAGTACAACTTCATGCGCGTCTTCCTGTTCCCGTTGTTCGCCGTCATCTTCGGCACGACGTTCTACCAGCTCTCAGCCGACAGCGTCAAGCGCATCAACTCGCACATTGGTCTCATCTACAACAGCATGGACTTTATCGGCGTGACGAACCTCATGACGGTGATCGAGGTGACGTGTGCCGAGCGCGCCGTGTTCTACCGCGAGCGCATGTCGAACTACTACAGTCCGCTGCCCTACAGTCTGTCGCTCTGGTTCGCCGAGATCCCGTACCTCATTGTGGTCATCATCCTCTTCGTGACGATCGAGTACTGGATCGTGGGCTGGAGCAACAACGGAGGCGACTTCCTCTTCTTCCTCTTCGTCTTCTACCTCTACACGTCGGCCTGTACGTACATGGGGCAGTGGATGTCGGCGCTGATGCCCAACGAGAAGGTGGCGAACGTGGCTGTGGGTGCGCTGTCGTGTCTGCTGAACCTCTTCTCGGGCTACTTGCTGCCTCGAACGGCCATGAAGGCAGGCTACAAGTGGTTCACGTACCTCATGCCGTCGAGCTACTCGCTTGCGGCGCTGGTGGGCGGCCAGTTCGGCGATAACCACGAGATTATCACAGTCACGTCGGGCAACACGTCGACGGAGATGACGGTGGCGCAGTACATTGAGAACATCTACGACTTCCGACCCGACCGCAAGTACAACTTCATGGTCGGCCTCATCGTCATTTGGCTGGTCGTGCAGGTGGCCATCTTCCTCACGTTCAAGTACGTGAGCCACCTCAAGCGATAAGCAGCTACATGGGACGCCACCAACAATGTGACAGGAAGACTTTTGCCGTAATTTTTCATTTTTACAATTAGTGGCGTAGATTTGAATTTACTTTTCATCACTTTTCACAGTTTTATTTTTTACCTTGCAGTATTTTTTTGTAGAAAGTGAAAATGTCTAGCCAATCACAGCAAATAAATGTGAATTAGCTATAATCCAGATAAACGGCATCGCCATTCTTGAAATTTCTAAGCGACAAGCAGATATCGACATTTCATGTGGCTGGAAGAGCTACCGACGGACTTGGTGGAGGCGGTATACAGCTTCCTGGTGGGCTTTGATGCCTTTCAACTCTCGCACACCCCCCACGTATCTGTATCTCTTTCATTATCATGTATGAGAAACGAGCGTACCGGTTCGTTCTCTTTTTTAAAATGTAAAATATCCAATCAAAAAACGTATTTGCCAAAAGTGACGAAGTTCAACGTGCGTGGTAACATGGCATGGCTTTAACCGGAACTTTGCTTACCACGCCAAATACGCCAGCCTGTGTAGCTCGCCCAAAACGGTATCTTTGCTGTTGTTTTGGGCAGAAGAGGGAACATCACAAGCGACAGGGGTCCGTTTTGCAGAGAAAGGGGTCCGATTGCAGAAAAAACATGTGGAGGGTAAACATTTACACTTGCTTTCATTAAGGTCAGCGTTGGGAGTAATTTTAGGCTTTATCACGTCACGGAGAAGTGTTGAGACTTGTCCGATGAAGTTGATTCGAGACCTCCACGCGGAATTCATGTCGTTTGGATGCAGATGTTACGGTTGCACCACGGGAGTATCAATACAGTATCTGATCATGTCGAGACTACCTGCTGAATGCTACAACACTGTGCGCGAGAGTTCTATTCATCAATACGCGCGACTTCAGCCTCCTACGAGCCCGAGCAAGAGCCGGGCTCCCGGGTTCTTGGGCGGAGCCCGGAATTTAAACTAAGCGGGCTCTCGGGATCCTGTGTTAAATAAGTTAAATATAAGGAGTCCGTTGTTATGGTCGGGATCCCGGTTAATTTAGATGCGTGTGACTTATTTGAATATCTAGGATCCAGATCAAGATTTCAGCAAACCAGGGCGTCTCAGTAAGGCCATGGTTCTAACAAGATCTCAGGTCCGTGCCGCAGCACAAGACCAAGCGGGCATACTGGAAGGGATTGTTACCGAGGTACACGATGAAGAGCTCCTTGCTGTCGTCCCTGCACATGCCCCTGCGCAGAATGTTCGCCTAGAGTCTCAAGTCTCAAGAATCGTCGACAGCTTCTGGAGCGAGACCCAAAGACTTGCTGCAGAGACTACAATGATGCAGAGCAATCAAGTTCAACAAGCGAAAGAGTACCACGCCGCCTTGGCTGCCATCCACCACGATGATCGAAGCAGTACGGCTGAGCTGGCAGCACACCAACAGTGGATTGAGGGCCAGATACGAAAGGCCCTGGAAGACACTAACTTGGCTCTACAACAAGAACTGCAAGTTATTTCCAATGCCCAGGTAGTAGGTAATGAATCTTCGCGTTTATTTATTCAGGAGCAGCTGCAATCTGCGCGGGGGGTCGCGCATCTTGAAGTATTGGAGATGAAGAGTGCGATAGCAGCCCGAGCTGCGAAAGTAGAGCAGATCGAGAGAGAAATGACAGTAGCAATCACAAATGCTCATAGCGCACTGGCGCAGCGGATAGATGGTGTGCTTTTGCAACCACAGGCCGCCATTAACGGAGATGTAAAAGGCCAAATGGAAGAAATGTGGGATGCAATGCAGAAGCAGATCGACATGAAGTTTCAGCAGATGACTTCGAGTATTGTGGAGAACTGTATTGCAATGTTGGAGGAGAGTGGAGGTGTTACCACCGGTAGATTGACGATTCGGCGCGTTCAAAGGCTGGTGTCGGAGTACGTGGCTAATCAGGAAGAGAAGATGGAGCATAAAATTAAGCATCTTGTACAGAGCGCTCACTCACAGATTAGCAACGAAATGATAAACAGTTTCGAAAAGCTTGGCAACAACATGCGTGAAAACATTCGCCAGCAGCTAAAAGATGAATCCGCAGCGACAGAGGTACACATGGAAAAGCGAGTCCGTGACATGCTACAAAAAGCCCATGAGGAACGCGTAATTGAATCGCGATGTCAAATGGAGGCCACTCGCGCAGTTGAAGGGGAACTTGAGCGCACCCGCACAGAACTCAACACAGAAGTTCGAGTCTGAAGGCACGACTCGATAAACTCGAAAACAAGACGAATGAGAAGTCACCAATTATTAGAGTGCCGCCAAAACGTCGTACTGAGCGCGGGAATAATACAGTACCCGTCCTTGTAAAGCACATGAATGATCTGGCGAAAGAAAATAAGTGGTCTCAAGATGAGCGAGTGGGTCGTATGGAGCAGTATGTCCAAGCAGAGCTACGTCGAGCTCTCCAGCTTACACCAAGTCTTAGCGTCACAATTCCCCCGGTTTCATCTGATCCTGTACAGCTCCGATCCCAGCAAGAGCAAGTTCCGGTGCCGCTAAGGTCAAGCGCGCAATTGACCAAGCACAGAAAGCTGTCAAGCGTCGATCGGAACTGGCCGCTCGCCGATACGATGCTCTTCACAAGAACGAGACGAATGGTAGCTGATCATGACACCGACCTCTCTATGTTAGTCATTGTTATGATTTTTAAATACATTTCGTGTTTTATCAATGATGTCGAGAGGCTATCCTTCTACCATGACAGCTATTAATACATTGTATTTATTATTGCTTTCCGACCCAACTCAATTATGCCAATGCCAGTGGGGACGGACTTACACATTAATCACTTTCACAATACCGTAGACGCACAGCCTTCGACAAACTTGTCACAAACCATGTCGGAGGAATCGCCTTGCCCAGTAGCATCGCTTCCTGATACGACATACGCTGCCTCCTCGTCAACGCCGGCGACGATGACACCTTTCCCTCTAGTCCAGACACGACAGCTTCGCCTACGATTACTATGCCGGCGACGACGCCTCCGTGTCCGTGATCTCTCGTCCGACACGGGGACCCATTCTCTGTTAAAACACCCTTCCCAGGGAACTTGCCCCCGGCCAAAATGGTCTCGCTTTTGTCGACAGCCGCGACATCTTGCTCAATGACATTCTTGTTAAGACTGGATGAACCCACGTGTCTGCACTGGCATGCTCGACACTCAAGCGATGAGCTGATTATCGGCTATCACGCAGTGCTACATCCCCACAACGCATCATTTCGGAGCAGACGAGGACGGTAATTTCTGGTGGCACTGTGACCACAATACCCAGTACACGTACGGTCAGCGTGGGCCTCTGATAATTCACCCACGCGAGGATCAGCTTCAGCCTTGGGAGATGGACGTCGGCGCCGAATACAAGGTCCAACTGGCGAAAAAAAGGCTCAATCTTGATCAACAATCGCGGTCGCTATAACTGTGCCGCTGCAGCATCACACGGCTTCAAACAGTGCCCAGAGGACCAGCCACTTACTCATTTCCGCTTCCAAGCGGGTAAATCATATCACCTCCGCCTCATGTTCATGAGGGCACTTGACCAGTTTGAATTCAGCATTGACGGGCATCAACTTCGCGCCATCGCACCGAGCGGAGAATCACTGGAGCCGTCCAAGCTCATCACCAACATCACTATTAACATCGGACAGCAAATCGACCTTCTCGTGGTGGCGAAGAATACCACGGATATGTCCTTTGGATGGCTCTGAATAAGAGCAACGGGGCTCAACCGTTTATCCTGCACGGCGGCGCCACATTAACGCTGGCGAGGGATTGAGCGTCAACGGTCAGGCGATGGTATACGGCGAGGAAGATGACGTAGCCGAGCCCACCACTTAGTACTGCAACGAGACGTCGACGGTCGGTGAGAACGAGTTGACACCTGGAACATCACAACGTTGCCTGCAACCCCAGACAAACAAGAGGTCATCGAGAAGCCGTTTCATCTGCGCAGCCACTCATCGTGCATGGTCGGAAGCGGTCATGTCATATTGGCTGAACTGCCGCCGTATGGAAGAGCTTCAGGTTATGAAGGTGTCGTCGCTCGTCAGAAAAATGACGAAAATGTAGATACATGTACGGCGACCGCTGCAATAGTAGTATCACACACCCTTTTCCTCTTCTTCAACGCTCGCTTGAGAAAATAAGTCGAGAATCATTTCGTCTTCATCATCACGTGGTGTAGCCTCCATTACGTAGCTCACACACTGAGGGATATGAGAATCCAGTTCATCGTCCGGGATTGACTCGCACTGTGCAATGTCCACAAAGGCTTCGTTTCGATTAAGAAAAGCACACATGTCGACATTCTCGTTTGAAAGGCTTGCACGTTGTGATGTCACCATCTCCCCACACACACTGAAGTCTCTCTCGATCTGGGCGGATGATGAGGGTAAAGCAAATAAAACTTTCGCCACCCTCGGTAATATACTGTAGCCGCCACTGTGCTCCATTCGCATCCAAAAAGCAAGCACGTCTTCATTGGCTCTCATCTCAGTCTGATCAATCTCCCAGTTGCGAAGCTCCTGGCTAACTCGATCAGGTTGAGTAGGAAACGGACGTTGAGTAGCACGGTTTTCAAACCGTGCACGTATACCGCTGATGAGGGGTGGATCATCTTCGGCAGAATGCTGACGACGCACCATATCACTTGCAACAGGGTCTACTACCTTCTCCATCAATGTACGAAGCCTTGTCTTCACTGCCTCATTCACGGAGCTAACGAACACGGTTATTGCATCTTCCGACATTTCTTTTTCCTTGTACAACATTTTCACGACCGCGTTGAGGGAATTCTCCGGGTTTTTGAAGTCAGGGTGCAGTCTTTGCTGCATTTCGAAAACAAAAGATCCTTCATCGAGATAAGTCTCACTTGTGTAGCGGCAGAAGAAACGCGGATCAAAAGCACTGCGTAATAATCGCCTAGTTTGCACCGCAATCTCTGTCAGGTCGTCCACTGCAATCCATTTGAGCGAATCATCGATAATCTAACAAAGCCTCCTCCAAATTCAATGTGTCGAGACGTATTTGATACACTTCCATGAGCACTTCTACTTGGTTAGGACGCTCGGCCTGGCAGAGTCTCTTAAGCCTCGAGATTGGATCCAGCAGTGATAAAATCTGCTGAAGATCCCTGCGACGGTTTTTCAGCCTGAAAGATGGCGGAGATACGCGCTGTCGGAGGGCGAGGCGGCGCGTTCGTCGTACCACTCGACAAGTGCTCCCCACTTCTCCAATATTCGGCGGATGGTGCCAGTAATGCTCAAAAACCGATTCGCCGCGTAACCTAGTGACTGGGTAGTAGACGTGATTGTCTGCGTTCGGCAAAGTGCAGTAAACAGATCTCCAGTCTTTTCAGTAGACTGGACGTCAAAAATTGTTCTCTTGATGCGGGCAATCAGCTCCGTCATGACTGGATTATGGGACCGCTGAGCATCTCCATTCATTCCGCAGGCTTCTTTAGTGGCAGCATGCGCCATGTGAGCCATGCACCATTCCCATTTTAGTTTCAGCCCCCTTTTTAGCAAGCTTTTAACATCAGGGCCACCGTCGCTTGTTGCACCGAAGAAATCACTCGGAGTCAGCCCAAAATCACCAAGTAGTTGAAGAGTCCAAGCCTTGTAAGGACCTTGAATCCCCATTTCACGGTCTCCATAACTTGGTGAAAATCTGCGCACTCCGAGAAGAATAGATCGGAATTCCCAGTTAGAGTCGATGAAATATACACGAACGCCCATGTATTTCTTGTGGGTAATTTTGCACGTCCAGAAATCACTCATTATGACGAAATTGCCAAAGGACCCCAGTTTGCTGTCCCCCAACACGCTCATAATCTCGACTCGCGTGGACGAATAGAGCTCAATAATTGCTCGTCTTATCTTGGCTGCGTTTATAATGATCTGTACGTCTTCTCGCTTTAGCAGGGCTTCGACAATACGGGATTCTCGGTACTCACCAAATCTGAAAGGGAGGTTGTTATTGATAATTCGTAGCGTCTCCATAAGTAAGGCAAATCTGCGCGGATTGTTTTTGAACAAGGATGAAGAACGTAAATGCTCGATCTCGTCTTCACGTTTTCGTTTCTCACCCAGTTGTGCTTTCGTTCTCATCGACACAACTCGGTGGGCCGCTGCTAAGTGATTCGCCGGTTTAGACGTGCGATCCCAGGACAGTGTAAAATTGGTTCCGTTTCTCCTGCAGGTTTCGTCAGCTAGGCAAATCCAGTGACGAACAGGAACCCCACGCTCGACGACCTCAACGCGGACGCCCCATTTGTATATATAGGATGTCTCCTTTTCTGTAGGAGGCTTCAGCATTAGCCCTGGCACCTCAGGAAACGCTGCGATTGCGTTTGTCACCGCAGCGGGTGGCTTTATATTTGCAACTTCGATATCACTTGCAATACCACGCACGCTGTGAGCATCTGCCACCACAGCTGACGAAGACCCATGCGGTGGCACACGTGCTGCTGTGCTTTGGTCCACCTGACCAGCTGAAACAGTTGATGCGCGCGATGCACCAACACTTGAAGCAATGACTTCTTCACCATTCTGGCTAGCCTGCTCATTTGTCGCGTTATTGACGGGCGGAGTGACTGCGTGTGTCTGCGACCGCGGTCGAATGGACGTTAAGCTTCTTTGTGGTGCTCTACGGGAGGCCGCATCTCGTCTATCAGAGTCTGGGGACGCAGCTTCGCCAGCCCCCCCGTCAGTCCTTCCTGGTCCTGCCGGCTGCCCGCTTGCGCGCAGCGCGCGTATCTCTTGGAGACGTTGGAACAGACTTGGCCACATTTTCGAAGTGTGGAAAAGAGAGCTGCGAGCTTCAAGCTGTGTTGAGTCGACAAGTGGTCTAGATTGCATCCTAGAAAACTGAAATGTAGTTATCCAATCAAGTCGCGTAGACACGAGCCTGAATAACTAAAATAAAGTGCCACAAGAGCCTGGAATAAGAGCCTCAAAGAGAGCCTGCGTTGGGTCTCTGTACTCTCGGACTTAATTGGGTGGAGCCCAGTGCTGTATTCGCCTGGCTCCAAAAGATATGACGGAGCCGAGGTCCTTGAAGATACAAGCTCCCCTATCCCTGGGCTCGTAGAAGGCTTGAGGGCGCTCGCCAGCCTGTGTAGCTCGCCCAAAACGGTATCTTTGCTGTTGTTTTGGGCAGAAGAGGGAACATCACAAGCGACAGGGGTCCGTTTTGCAGAGAAAGGGGTCCGATTGCAGAAAAAACATGTGGAGGGTAAACATTTACACTTGCTTTCATTAAGGTCAGCGTTGGGAGTAATTTTAGGCTTTATCACGTCACGGAGAAGTGTTGAGACTTGTCCGATGAAGTTGATTCGAGACCTCCACGCGGAATTCATGTCGTTTGGATGCAGATGTTACGGTTGCACCACGGGAGTATCAATACAGTATCTGATCATGTCGAGACTACCTGCTGAATGCTACAACACTGTGCGCGAGAGTTCTATTCATCAATACGCGCGACTTCAGACACCATACCTTATTCAGTAACTCTCCCGATCCGGTAGTTTGTGAATGCTCGCTGGAACGATAGAAATGACATTCGCCTTCGTCTCATTCAATTTACTGTACCAGTCATTCAATATAAACTATGAGATCCATGGTCTCTGATTGGCGGGATCAACTGTTTCGGCCCTACCCATCACCACATGGCGATTCGCAAGTAAATCGAAAATATCAACTCGAGCGACGCGGCTGCGAAGGGAGCTACCAGTCCGGGCATTGTGCAATCGCTCCTCACGCTGGCCTCAATCTGTTGCAGAAGAAGAGGGCGAAGAGAGTTGCCGGACCGACGTTTGCTCGCGAGAAGGCCGTGAGCGACATCTGGCCAAGGATTAACAAGTGAAAGCCTTCTGCCTTTCCGAAAGAGCAGAGTCTCTCATAGCCGTTCTGCTACTCGTTGCAAAAGGTTAGTCAGAGCTGAGCAAGTCTCTCTAGACTTTGATACGGCAGCAATTGATGTAGAAGCAATGCCGATTGATTGTGTGTGGGTGTGTCGACTGAAAACTTTTCAGTGAAAAGACACACAGCCCAAAACGATATCTTCGATCGCTGTTTTGGGTGCGCGCAAGAACCAGGGGTCCACTTGCAAGAGAAAGGGGTCCGAATACGCAGACCCCTCCAAGAACACTTGGTTTCATTTAAGAAGTCAGTATTGGGCTCCTGCCGGAAATATTGGGCTCCTCCCACTGACCATAGAGTACTCGCCTTTACGGAAATCTACGAAGTAAAAGTAAACCCGGAAAGCTGGTTGGAAGGCAGAACACATCCCTCCCTACCTTTGACTTCACGCTAGAGCTGTCGACGTCGCGACCCTTGGCACCGATTCGACGTCGACGACGCACGGACGTCTTATCTTTTGCACTCGATGTCGCCGTTGCACCACACCGACACCCATACGTCGAAACTATGTGAGAGAGAGTAACTACCTGCCATTTTTCAGCTTGCTAGCTGCCATGTTTACCATGCGCATGACTCCCACTTCTAAAGAGATCCTCATGAATCTTGGCAAGACCACTAAATCTACTCCGCGCCCAGCGCATCGTTCAATGTAGACCCATTCAGCGCCAATTCAGTACAGTCGTGCACCTCCAATTCGGCAGGGCGGACCATATCAACAGTGCCAGGGCATAAGTGCACAACGTAAAGCAAAAAACAAGCGCAAATCCAGTGCACTGATATTATATTTGTTTATTCAGTACCAAATTTACTCTAATCTTCTGCATAATCTTGGCGTCCTTCAAGGCGGCAACTTCCGCGGACCGCTTAAGAATACTCTGGACGGTAGTGCGCTTTACTGCTTGGGGGATCTTAAAGCGCTCCGTTGCCCAACGAGCAAGCTCGGAGTGAGAGCATGCAGGATCTGACTTGTGCTTCTCGCACAAAGACTGCTTTTGTGGGACATGTAGGAGGAAGGGCGATGTCCCATTGCATTTGGCGGTAAAAATCAAAGTGTGTGTTTGTATGAAGACGTCCGATCCAAAATTTAAAATCAGATCGATGCGGCGTGTCATCCCTCGGCGAGGAGGGGAAATCCGTTGAGGTTAATTGCTGGGGTGGTGATGGGCAAAGGTAATTGCGCATCCGATTCGCGTAATCATAAAATCTGGTAGGGTATCGACTGATACTGGTGCCGAATTGGAGGTGCACGACTGTACAGCCAGATTGATTTGACGCCAAACTTGTGGACCTGTTCAGATGACAGGAAGCACTCGTATGCACGAAACCAGTGCGGAACAGTAATTGATTCTGGGCACTGCAGATCTGCCAATTCCTGATTGTTGTTGTGCGACGTGTTCCTCTGAGGGCTTGTATAATTACCAATAGATGGATTGGAAGCTTCAAACGGCCTTGGAGGATGACCAACAACGCCACTTTTGGTGAGAACAGCAGCACCTTAATTCGAAAGAGTAGCTCATAAGTGGGTGTCGAAATGTGTATTTTTTACGTCGTTTGCATTATTGGACGTCGAGGTGGAAATCTCCGAATACACCAGACGTCGACAGCTCGATAGTCGGTGAAAATAGTAATAGTCACTGACTATCGAGCACCCTCAGCAACCCTCAGCTGCGCGTATTCGCTTGCGCAACTTCTTGCCAGAAGCAGTTCTGATTGCAAAAGTAACTTACAGCTTTGCAGGCGCCGATTAAAACTTGACACCCAGAAGCCAATCGTGTCGACATTACCACAACGTAAGACTCAACATGTTTTCTTTTCGAGGCCAGCAAGAGACTGGGAAGACAGAGTGACTGGGTTGTATGAATAGCCATTACTAAAAGTTGTCCATTGGCTCACGTGTATCGTCCGAAGGTGGAGGACCAACGGGCTCAACTTTCTCTCAAGCCATGTAGAAAGCAGCAGTGATTGCAAGCTTTCAGCCAACGTTTTTGTGGCGGGGCTGTTCTGTCCAATGATAGGAGTAGCCACTTTTCAAATAGGAAGTTGGGTGTACGCTTCTGTGCCCGCCACTCGGCGAATAACTAGTTCTTCAGTTTTGTGGCAATGTCCTTCGTTCTATCAGCATTTGGTCCGGTCCCAAGCACTTTTGCTAACTCTCTGTCGCCAAGACCAATGGATACTGTGGCAATTGGTGACATCTTCTTGGGGTGCATGAAATTCTTTCGTGTACTTGAGCCAGGGAGTCAAGAGCGGACTCGTGAGTAGGTTATGCCCGCCAAGCAGTAGAAAGTCGAAGACGTTCACCGGTGGAGTATTCTTTTTCTTCCCGCTCTCCAACGTCTGCGCGTATAGCTTAAGCGCAATCGCTTTCGTGTGTTCATCCTTCATACCAGCATTAAGTATACGTGAAAGCCAAACGGCATCGTCTCCGTGTGTCATCTTTCATTTATCTTCATTATCGTAAGGTCTAAACATAATTTTCGTGTTTCACGTTTACAGCGTGATGGCAGGTCGATTTTGTCATAGTACGCTGCCGATCCACAATCAAACGTCGGTCTTGCCTTGTAAGTTATTAATAGGTTATGTCAAGAGTGACGTTTAACGTTCCTACTGAAATCTAGGAGCCACTGCAGATATCGCTATTGCACGTGCCATGGTCCATACTCTTGGACGTGATTTTCGTTCCCATTACCGGTACTTATCTTAATTCAAAAGAGATAATGCAGTACTATCTGACCAGCCTTCGAAAACGAGTCGTGTTTTCCATCTCTGTGTCAAATATAAATTTTAGATTCGCTTCAACTTGCTGCAAGAAGAGAAGCGTGTGCGTTTGACAATAAAGGGTATGCACTTTCCGCTCTTGACATCAACTGCCACCAACGACCTTTTAAAACTCCATTGTAACACCCGAGCTAATGTGACCAGACGGATGATATCGTTTAAGTCTTGTTCTCCCAATATAGCAAGTATAGGGCCCCGTGAGTCGGGTGTGTGCCTTTGTGGTGAGCCTCAGACTGCAAACCGTCCGTTTTAAAATCAGTTCTCACAGGTCTCGTCCTCGCTCCGTCCAAATTAAATGACCCTTTGGTGGACGGTCTGCTTTGAAACAATCGACTATCACAGGCGATACATGCAAACAACACAAAGAGACGCCATTGGGTCTCCGATCTATTTATCAGCGTAGCATTCTCCAACTTGCTGCATTCCAGTCACATCCAATGTCGCTCGCCCAGCTGTTCGAGCATTTGCATCTCGAGAGCTGCCAGCCTCCGGACGAGCGATTCGCTTGGCTACATCGACGCTCACAGCAGACGCAGCACCCGCTCGTGCAGTTCGAGTTCTCCAAGACGCACTGTACGCTACGCATTGTGTCCAAACACAAACGCAAGAAAGAACTCGTGTCGGAACGCCGCTGCAAGTCTCTCACCCATGAACGGACTCTGTCGGCCGTAACCACTGGAAGCCTCACGGAGGAAGGTGAGAGGCCACAAGACCCTGTCTTCATGAGGCTCACGTGGGAGGAAGTTCTCGGAGCACACCTACAGACAGCATGCGGCCAGCCACTCAGCCGACGCTCAGTTGTCCCCCGTCGAGTCTACATGCTAGCACTGTACGCGTGTCCTTCAGAAGGTCTCCTACTCGATGACAAGAATCACCACCACAAAGACAGACAGCCGACGAAGCGAAGCCCCCGTCAGTGGACATTTAGATTCTACGGTGACGAGATTGACCAAGTGGCTCACCTGCACCATGCACTGAACAAGTGGGCAGATCCTCGTAGAACGATCCAGGAGGATATCATCGACCTGACATTTTTGAAGCCGGAGGAAGCTAATTCTGGGTCCCTACGCAAATTTCGCGTGCTTGTTGACTCGAACGAAAAGTCTGGTCTCCACAAGTACGAGCAGTTTGTTGCGCCCATGTTCCAAGTTGCCAACATCGAAACGACTGTCG